CGTGAAGAATGTAAAGTACTCCTGATCATGTTGCAACTTAAACCAGAGATGGTGAGTGGATGGCACACTGTTTCTCCCCCTGCCCCACGGCAGGTACCACTAGTCTGCTTCGGTGCTCCTGCTAATCCCTGTGCCATCCTCACTCCACGTGGAGGTGCCTTCACGCAGCGGTATGAGTGTGGCTGCCTATTTGCCATCCCTGGCTGCGGTGCTGCTCCTGTGGAGAACTGTTTCCCACGATCTTTTTCTTCCCCTCTGAATCCCTGTGTCTGGAATGGTCCTTGCCTCTTCCAGATCAGGTAAGGCCCTGATCCGGCCTCCCCCAGCCCCTGTGCCAGGTGAGGTGCAAAAGCTGCCAATCCCCAGAAGTGTTGCTAGGTTGAGGGAGGTGCAAGGAGGAGGCGGGGGCAAGGCTCTCTCCTTGGAGAGAGCAGGAAGGTCCACAGTGAGTGGCCCACACAGCTGCCTCCCTCGCTTCAGCTACCTCTTAAAGGCCGTGGGGCTTGGGGCTGTTGGAGCCCAGTGTTGGGGTACAGGAAGCAGGTGGGCCCCAGGCAGGTAGAAGCTTTGCTCAGCTCCACCCATTTCTAGGTATTCAGGCCGGTCTGTAGGTGGGGAGCCCTTTCTTTCTCCTCCTCTCCATTGACCAAATCTTAACCACTCACTATTAGCTGCTCTGCTTTCCAAAGCCAGCCCAGTCCTGGGCCAGATGCAGGGGAAGCGGCCTGTCCAAGAGTTAAGGCCAGCGCCTTTCCCCTCCCCCAGCGGGTCCCACACACGTGACCTCAGTTTTAGGACCAAGAGCTGTGTTGGTTGCTCCAGTTGCTAGATTTTCCTCCAGGGGACCACAGCAGGTGAAGCTCAGAGCCACGGCTCTGCAAACAGGAACTTGTGTTTAGGACCTTGTCCAGCTGAGAGCTTCATGTGCACCAGATTCCGAGAGGTGTCAGCAGCACTTTTTTGTTGTTTGTTTTCTGTGAGGTTTTTGGACCATGGGCTGAGCTCAGGCACTTTCTGTAGGAGAATGTTATTTCTGTAAAGATGGTTATTTAACCCTCCTCTACCCTGTTGCAGCAGCCCTGCTGAGGGCTGACCAAGAGGCCAGGGGAGCTGCCTGGTGTCCACAGGGGAGGGCCAGCGCCTGCTGAGCTGATTCTCCAGCTGCTGCCACAGCCCTCCCACCTTGCACAGCACAGAGGTGGCCACCCCAGGGACAGCAGGCACTACCTGCTCCTCTTGCCCTTCCTGGCGGAGGGGACTGCCTTCTGTCCCTGCAACTGCTTTCTTTGTGGCCCATCCTGGCCACTCAGACTTGTTTGAAGCTGTGCTGACAGCGTTTTTGTCTCCTTTTGGTATTCACAACAGCCAGGGACTTGATTTTGATGTATTTTAAATCACATAAAATAAAAGAGTCTGTTGCCTTACTTCTCTCCTGACCTGTGTGGTCATTTGATGCTTCTGGATCCATCTACTTCCTCCCATTATGACTGACTTGGCTGTGCCCTGACATCCTGCCTCTTCCAGAACCTTCCTCCCCTCAAGCAGTCACCACAGCCTCAGGACCCTGGCAAATTCACTTGAGCTGCCTGAGTGGAACCCTTGGCAAAATTGGCAAGCCACTTACATACATAATAGCATCAGAGATAATGTCTTTCAAAAAAAGTCCCTGGCCTAGGGGACTCAGGCTAGTGAGGAGAGAAGGTATGTTAAGGTATAAAATGTCAGTGGTGCTGGGGAGCAGAGAGGAGGCCTCTGCCCCCTTTAGCATGGGGACATCTGGAACAGCCCTCTAACCCAAAGGGCAGGCAGAAGTCTAGGAACCTCTGTAATGAAGCAGTACCTCTGGGAATGCAGCTCCATGGGAGGGTGAGGACAAGAATGAGGCTGGGGCTGAGCCTCATTGTGTACCAAGTTAAAGGACTGGGCTAGATCCAGAGGGCAACCAGGATCACTGAAGGTGTTTAATTTTAAATAGGATTTGAAGGCTGGGTGTGGTGGCTCACGCCTGTAATCCTAGCACTCTGGGAGGCCGAGGTGGGCGGATTCCTCGAGATCAGGAGTTTGAAACCAGCCTGAGCAAGAGCGAGACTCCGTCTCTACTATAAAAAAAAATTAATTGGCCAACTAATATATATAGAAAAAAAAATTAGCTGGGCCTGGTGGTGCATGCCTATAGTCCCAGCTACTTGGGAGGCTGAGACAGTAGGATTGCTTGAGCCCAGGAGTTTGAGGTTGCTGTGAGCTAGGCTGACGCCACAGCACTCACTAGTCTGGGCAACAAAGCGAGACTCTGTCTCAAAAAAAAAAATTTAAATAGGATTTGAGAGGACTGAAAATAAATTTATAAAAATATTAAAAAATAAAGAAAAATTTTAAATAGGAAATTGGTAGGGGGCAAGAGTAAGGCAAAGGCAGGGAGACCAGAGAGGGAGGCATAGGCCAGTCACCCACATTAAGATGGCTGGACGCTCATCACTGCTCTTTGGGTCTGTGCCACAGGCAGCGTGCTATAGCACTGGCCCATGTGAGGAAAAGCAGAAGGACCTCCAGGTTCCTTGACAAGACCACTTTCTCCATTTAGTTCTTCAGAACACACTGGTTTCTTATCCCTCTTGAGGGCATTAAAACAGGCTCCTCAGCTGGGCATGGTGGCTCACGCCTGTAATCCTAGCACTCTGGGAGGCAGAGGCGGGCGGATTGCTCAAGGTCAGGCATTCGAAACCAGCCTGAGCAAGAGCGAGACCCTGTCTCTACTATAAATAGAAAAATTAATTGGCCAACTAATATATATAGAAATGTAGCCTGGCATGGTGGCGCATGCCCGTAGTCCCAGCTACTTGGGAGGCTGAGGCAGTAGGATTGCTTGAGCCCAGGAGTTTGAGGTTGCTGTGAGCTAGGCTGACTCCACGGCACTCACTCTAGCCTGGGCAACAAAGCAAGACTCTGTCTCAGAAAAAAAAAAACAGGCTCCTCTGTGGAAGAAGTCTCATTGGTGCCCTCACTGAGCACCTGTTCTCTCTGGGGCCAGAGGTGGGTTGGCATGAAGAGGGTTTGTGGTGAATCCCCAAAAAATGGCAGGACAACCCAAGTGCCCTTCCCTCTGGGCCTCACAGGTGGATGTGTCCACACACTGGCTGTGACAGTCCCAGCAAAGCCTCTGACCTTTCTAGCCAACATCCTGATGGATTGCTATTTTTCTGTGCTGGCTACATTGGTTCCAGGCAAGATCTTTGGAGGATATGGGAGGAGTGCCACCCCTTAGATGTCCAAGCAAAGCAGCTTTGAGAATAACTCCAGCTCTGGCTCCCAGTGAAGCAGCTGAGGATGGGACTACAGGGATGCTCACACTTTTCTGGAGGCACTCGGGCAGCTCTGGTGGTGAAGGAGAGGGATTTTCCTGTTGTCCTTCTCCTCTGCCTGGTTTTGAAAAAGTTCTGAATTAGTACTGCCCTTCTGGATGGTCTGGGTGTTGGAAGCACCAGAAAAAGCCCTGTGCAGGTGCCCACAAGTAGACCAAGCCGAGAGGAGGTGGCTCACACCTGTAATCCTGCACTCAAGGAGGCTGGGTGGAGGATTGTCAGGTCAGGAGTTCAAAACACCTTGAGCAAGAGCAATGCTATCTACTAAAATAGAAATAATTGGCCAACTAAAAATATATAAAAAATTATTGGAATTACTTTGGGAGAAAAAAAAAAATTAGCCGCATGGTGGCTGGCTGTAGTCCCAGCTACTTGGGAGGCTGAGGCAATAGGATTGCTTGAGCCCAGGAGTTGGAGGTTGCTGTGAGCTGGGCTGACACCGCAGCACTCTAGCCAGGCACAGGTTTTTTTTTTTTTTTTTTTTTTGTGAGATCTGTCTCAAAAAAAAAAAAAAAATAGAGTAGAAAAAGTACTGTGTTTCTCTGAAAATAAGACCTGCCCATAAAATAAGCCCTAGCAGGATTTCTAAGCATTAGCGCAATAGAAGCCCTACCCCGAAAATAAGACCTAGTGATGGGCGTGGCTACACAGCATATCTGCACAACCCATGCATTTTGTCGTGGATCAGTAAAGACTACGAGCAGCCCTTCTCATCTGCCCCATCCTGACAGCTACTATCCCAGAGGTGACCAGAAAGGTGCGGGCAGCACCACCAACAAGGTTGGCTCCCCCTGTCAGGTCCTGGCCATCCTGTGCGTGCTGCAAGCTGAGGCTTTGAGGGGAAAATAACACATCCCCTGAAAATAAGCCCTAGGGTGTCTTCTTCAGGAAAAACAAGTCTAAGACCCTGTCTTATTTTGGGGGAAACATCTCTCTCCAAGTCAGCCAGAGGCCCAACCCAGGGAATCTCCGGCCCAGGGAGGGGCAGGGTGGGTGGGGTGGCAGTGTGTACTGCTCTGGGCCAGTTAATTTGGTCCTGCTGGCAGCCTGGCCAAGGATGAGCCTCTCATCAGATGCTGCTCTGAGGACCTGAGCCAGGAGCCTCTGCCAGGTCTTTAAATAGCTGTCCCATTGATCCTGCTGCAGCTGCGGTGGCAGCACGGGGGCAGCCTCCTGCAGTGCTCAGGTTTCCCTCTTGAGGGCTGGAGTCAAGTGCCAGGGAATCGCATGGTGTCCCTCTGGCCTGGTGCTCCCCACACCCGTCTCCTAAGCCTAGGTTGTGTGGAGGGCTCCTGTCACTTCATCAGTGGCAGAATACAGCCCTCATCACTTACCAACCAGGACTGTCTGGGTGTTGAGAAAGTGGCCTCAAAAGACTCTTGCTTACTTTCATTCAGTAAAACGGGGGACCATGACAATGACGATACCTTCTTTCAGGGTTGGTATGAGGATTAAATGTACATAAAGTGTAATAGGGGATCTGGACTCACTCAGTAGATGGTTGTCTTTGCAGTTTCTTCCTGCAGCTGCTAGTGCTGCTTATATATTTATTTACATTCATATTCTCCTTCCTCCCTCCGCCCTCTCCCCTCCCGAGCTGGCGCGCTCTCTTTCTCCCTCTCTGTCCTCACTACCCCCTCCTTCTGACAAAGCCACCACCATTTTGTAAGAGATTTTAGCTTCTAAAACTGATGGGAAAATCTCTTTTAAATGGACATCACCCAGCTAACAGGCGGGGAGGCGAGATGAGGCGAGAACGGCTTAGTAAACGCGGGGACGTCCCTCCCTAACTCCGTCCCCAGCTCCAGAGGGTCACTTTCTCTTTAAATGCAAATCACCTCCCGCCAGCTCCGCTTCCACCCGGTGGAGTTCCCGGGAGGAGAGGGCGAGGGCGGAGGGCCCTTGCACCGAAGCTTCGCTCGAGACCCCAAAGCTCCAGGTCAGTGTCCCCTCCGGGCGTGAGGGCGGGGGCCGAGTGACGCGGGTCTGACGCCGCAGCTCGGAGCTGGCTCCCGAGCTGGGGGATCCATTTGGCACACGGGTTTGGAGACTGAGCGTGGGAAATAGATCCCGGCAGGTCCTGGGGAGCAGGGGCTCCCGCTCCAGCTCTTCTAGCAGGTCCCTAACTGGGTCAAGCTGCTGCAGGGACACGCAGAGGATGCTCTCCTCTCTCTCCCCTGCACACACCCCAGACCCGTCCAGCTCAGCGGCTGTGTGCCAGCGTAAGTGCCTAGGCCCCACCACCGAAGCGGAGTGCGCGCTCAGGCTTGGCGGTGGGAGCCTGCAGTGAGACTCCCAGAGGGGAGGACCCCAGCGGACCTGAGGCTTGGGGGCAGGGCTGGACCAGAGCCCGCTGAGCAGAGCCAGCCACAGGCGAAGCCATTGTTGGAGGCTCAGGCCGACCACCCACCCCGCCCTGGCTGCCACTGAAGCCCAGCAGGGACTTTCTGCCTGGGAAGAGTGAAGCAGCTGGAAGCACCCCCCCTGGGGATCTTCTGGGAGTCCCTGGTGTTTGCTGTGGGGGCTGGGCGGAAGGGGAGGGATGCCAGTGTCTAAGGAGGGGAAACTGCAAAGGAGGGGAAACTGCCCGTGTGCCAGGGCTTCTCCTGCTGTCGCCCACCTGGTGACTACTACTTGACATGGGGGCCTTCCCGGTCGCCCCCACCTGCACCTCAGTTGCCTCCTATGCTGACAGTGTTTGTCAGCATCTGCCTAGGCAGTTGATAAATACAATGGGGCTTAGTTAAGACACCCCTAATCCTCAGCAGGGCTCCTGCCAGCTCACATCCACCCTGTCCCCCCCATGTTTCCTCTGCCAACCTTGCCCCCCACTTCCCAGCCACAGGGACAGGAAGCCCCAGCAGTACCAGGATAATCAGGTCCAGTCCAGCCCTTTCAGGCAGGGCCTTTGTTTTCAGGCAGAAGGGGCTTAGGGTGGGCCTTGGAAGGTCCTTCAACTGTATATCCATGATCCCAGCAGCAGGCACTGGCATCTGGCCCTGCCTCTACTGTACAGGTGAGGGGACAGAGGCCCTGACAGTGTAAGGGGACAAGTTAGAAGTTCCCAAGATCCTTTCTTTGCAGCTCTCAGGGGCTGCTGGGGAGAGGATAACTTTGTCCCTCAGTATGTTAATGGGGTTGCTTCCCTCCCAGGCCGGAGGCCCAGCCAGCACCCATGGATGACAAGAAGAAGAAACGGAGTCCCAAGCCCTGTCTGGCCCAGCCAGCCCAGGCCCCAGGCACACTACGCAGGGTCCCTGTGCCCACCAGCCATAGTGGCTCCTTGGCCCTGGGACTCCCTCATCTGCCATCCCCCAAGCAACGGGCTAAGTTCAAGAGGTGGGTACAGAAGGAAAGCAGGGCAAGGAGGGACCCCAATTCCGGGCTGAGAACCATGGAGAGGGAGGCAAGGGGGGGGGCCTTGCCTTTTGTTACTATGCAATCATTGATGCCTTCTCTGGGCTGGCCCCAGGTGACCCCTGAGAACTCAGAGATGACTCACACCCAGCCCCTACCCTCAAGTGTGTGGCAAAAAAGTTAGGTGGGTCACTGAGATCACGTGGTGTGAGGCTGCACCTCAGAGGAGGGAGCAAGCCACCCTGCCAGAAAGTGAGGGTCAGAGAAGGCTGTCGGACACACTGGAGAGGGAATGTTCTAGGCTGAGAGGCTTACCTGGCATAAATGTGGAAGAAAGATATTACCTGAAAGGTTTTGGGAACTACAGGTGGTCGTGGGGTCTGGAGTGTCAGGGGACAGGAAATGGTGAGAGAATACTTTGGTGCAAATTCTCTGTTGCATTTGTTTTAATGATTGGGAATTTGCATTCTACTCTGTAATGTGTCCATGTTTGTTCCCACTAAAATACAATGTGTTCTTTTTCAATCCTTCGAAATAAAACCACTGTGGTTCCCTGTGGCTTTGCACACCACCTGCCTGAAAGGCATGCTTGGGGACAGCCACCATGGGATGTGGCTGAAGCTCAGGGCTGGGGGGAGAGTAAAAGGAGATGCAATTGGAGAGGTAGGAGGCCCAGGCTGGCAAGGGCATCAGTGTTATCCTGGGGGCAGTGGAACATTTGAAACAGTCTTTAAATAGAAGAGGGACAGAGAGATATTTTTGGGAGAGGTAAGACAGCTCTGGTGGCAATGAAGGAGTAACTGTTCCTGAATTCACTAAAGACCAGGGAGGACAAGTGACTCACTCAGGGTCACAGGTGGGAATGAGTGAGGCACTCAGACAGGAACCCAGAACTCCCCTTCTAGGCATGGTTCTGGCTGTGCTGTAAGTGGAAAAAGACTTCTTGTTGACCTCTTACCTTCACCCTTCCACTCTCCCTCCCTTCCCTCTACCAATCTGGTGCCCAGGACAGGACTAGAAGTACAAACATCCATTTATGTTGGTGAGTGGATGGGCAGATGAATTATAGCAGAGGCTGATGGTACAAAAGATCTGATGTTGCCTGTCTGCCCCCCGCCCTGTGACCATGGTCATGTCCACCTCACCCAGAGTAGGCAAAGAGAAGTGCCGCCCAGTGCTGGCTGGAGGTGCGGGTGGCTCTGCAGGCACACCTCTGCAACACTCCTTCCTGACCGAGGTGACCGATGTCTATGAGATGGAGGGGGGACTACTGAACCTGCTCAATGATTTTCATTCAGGCCGGCTGCAGGCCTTTGGTGAGTCCTGGGGCCTGTGCCAAGAGGGCCTGTGGGTGGGGCTGGAGGGCCTGGTCTCTGGGGCATGGCTGGGCCCAGGGTCCCAGGCTCGCTCCCAGGGCTCACACAGGGGCTGTCCAGGGAAGGAATGCTCCTTCGAGCAGTTGGAGCACGTGCGCGAGATGCAGGAGAAGCTGGCCCGGCTGCACTTCAGCCTGGACGTGTGTGGGGAGGAGGATGATGATGAAGAGGAAGAGGATGGAGTCACTGAGGGGCTGCCTGAGGAGCAGAAGAAGACGATGGCTGACCGCAATCTGGACCAGCTGCTTAGCAATGTGGGTCGTGGCTGGGTGCTTTGGTTCTTGGGGGCACCAGGGCAGGGGTGGGGAAGGTACATGCTCCCAAGACTATTCCTGGGCCCTGGGTGTAAAGTTGGGGATGCATGGATCCAAGAGCTCTGGGTCCCTCAACTTCCCCTAGAAGATGGCCCCCAGGGGTTTGGTCTAGTGCTCATTTTGACAGAAACCTCCCTTTGTCTCTTTGTTGACAGCTAGAAGATCTTAGTAATTCTATGTATCCTTCCCAAGGGACCTGACAATGTATGTGCCTGTGTCTCCCAGAGAAGAGGTCAGTTTCCTCCTCCTCACCATCCTCCAGGAGAATTCACACATAACCAACATCCCTAAATTTTGCAGTCCTGCTGCGTTGGAATTAGCCACAAACTGCCCCCACCCAGGTAGAGAAATGTAGAAAGAATTTCTCAACTATTAGGAAAAAAGGGGTTGCAGAGAATATCAAAATCTTTGCAAATACTTTAGCTAACACCAATCCATGGCAAAGCTTATCTCCCTACCTTTTCAGCACTGAACAATTAATTTTACTGAGTCATACTACCATCCCATCTGGTTCTCAGGCAGAAACAAGCGCGGGCGAGCGCCCCCTCACCCCAAAACACACCCCACAGTCTGGCTCGGGTGCTCACCAGCTCCTTGGACCTGCGTGAGCTGATGAAGAGAGAGGGGGTGAGTGACCTAGCAAGGAGGGCAGGTGGGGACTGCAACCTCAGCCCACGGACGAACCCAGAGACCTTTGTCCCGTCCCTGTGCACGGCTGGGGACTCTAAGCCTGTGCGGGATGGGAGGACAGGGCGGAAGGAAAGACTGGGTCCAAAGCGTCACAATCCTTAACTGGCTCAGACAGAAGCTGCACCTGGCCGAGAACGCCGAGCCTGAGGAGCAATCGGCGGCATAGGTGTCGGACCCAGGCCCAGGCTGCCCCTGTCATTCCTTTCAAACTGTGACTTTTTACGGACTCGGGAGGGTATTCCGCGGCCCCCCAGGTGCTATGGTGGAGGGGGGACACTGGATGGAATTAAACCAGAAAGCAAGAAAGCGGCTGTGTGTCCTCCCTCCCTGCGCGCATCCTCGGGCCTGCGCGGAGACGGCCCTGCGCCGCGCACTTTCGCTCTGGGTGGTGGCGGACTGGTCCGCCCCCTGCGGCTGTGGGAGTGGGAGTGGGGACCGGGGTGACGCGGGTGGGCCTGTCGCGCGGACGCTCGTAACCCTGGCGAGAAGGCTGCGGTGGAGACAGCGGGCGCGGCCCTGCACCTGCGCATGCCCACGAGCGGCGCCGGCCGATGACGCAGCGCGCCGCAGGCCTGCGAAGCCGTTGGGGACCGGATGGAGCCGGAACTGTGGACTCCGAAGGTGTCGGCGCTGCAGGTGGGGGCGGGCGGGAGTCGCACGGGATTCATGGGGTCTCTACTAGGACTTTCAGCAAGACGAAGTGATCATATTCAGTCCCCCCCCCCCGCGTGCCAAGCTCGGAGATAGCGGTCCTCCCTCGCCGCGCTGCAGAATGCTGGGACCACCGGCTCCCGCCCACGCGCCCCCACTCCCACCACACGCTCTCGCGGGGTCAGGGAAATAGCTGGAAGGGCCGTAAAGCGAGGAGAGGGATCCAGAGCAACATCCTGCCTTGAATCCCCGGAGCCCCAGCGCGCAGCATCACCTGTCTTTTCCCCGTGGCCCTGTCCCCTCTTGCAGTCACCGGGATGACCTCCCCAGGAGAATCCCCCTCCCTTACAGTGATAAGGAACTGCTTTCCCCGCTTTCTCCACACCAGGCCTGTGTCCGGGGCTTCTTGGTCCGACGCCAGTTCCAGAGCTTGCGAGCTGAGTATGAGGCGATTGTACGAGAGATTGAAGGGGACCTGGGCACGATTCAGTGGACTGAGGGATGGATTCCCAGGCCGCGATTTCTCCCAGAGGTAGTACAGACCCAGGGGGAGATGGGAAGGCAAGGAGGGACTGGGGCAGGGTGGAACCCACCCTTCCTGCTAACAGGCCTTTTCTTCCTGAAGAGGCATCAGACTCACCTCGTCACATCTCAATCCTTAATCCTCACCAACCTGTCTGCTAGATCATGGTGCCCAGACTCTTAGAGGGGTTTAGTCCTAAGGCTTTCACACCTCTGATTTCTCAGAAGGCAAAATCCCATCAGACCTGGAAAGCAGGAGAGAGGGTAGCAAATCCAAAGCAAGAACCGGGGAGCCACATCCTGTGTAAAGAAGCTGGGAGAGAGGCCATCCGGGAGGAGGTGGTGATGAAGAAGTCAGGAGAGGGCTCAGCAAACCCAGGAAGTCTTCTCTGCAGAGATGACAGCCCCTGGCTTCAGGCTGAACAGAGCAGGAAAGCCAGCCAGGAGGAACCCCGATACACAGCAAAGATGGAGAACCCAGGTACCTCTTTGCAAAGATTTGGGCAAGCCCCTAACCCTCTCTGGGCTTCAGCCTCCCTATCTGAAAAGTGAAAGGTTTGCACTAGATAAACTTCATTCCTCACCATCTTCCCTCTGCCTACTGGGGGCACCACATGGTTGGGCAGTGGGGGGCTGCCAGGGTCTAAGCTTAGACCACTTCCCAGGGTCTCCCCCTTAAGGCCCCCCCTTCTTCCCTCCTTCACAGAAGCCACAGGTCCAGGACTGGTCCACCGCCAGCCTGAGCTTCAGGAGCTCCAATACCACCGTAGCCACTTGGCCATGGAACTGCTGTGGCTGCAACAGGCCATCAATAGCCGTAAGGAGGTACACGCTAACTTGGAACTCTTTCTGAACATTTAGGGCCAAGGGTGGGGGTTAGGGAGAGACCTCCTGCCATGCCCAAGCAGGCCTGCCTGGTACAGTGTCTATCTGTTCTCTCCCCCAACAGTACCTAATCCTCAAACAAACACTGACATCCCCAGAGGCAGGCCAGACCGGAGACGAACCCAGCTTGTGCCCAGACCACAGAGGACAGGCCTGTGACAGGGACTGGCCACAACCAAGCCCACCACTAAAGGATGAGTCCTATAGAGACAGGACCACTAGAGAGCTAGACCATGCAGATGACTCCTGCCAGAGGGTCAGATCACCCCACAATTCTTCAGAAGGTCTGGCTACTACCCAAAACTCTGCTGGCGCTAAGTGTAGGGAACCACGCACCAAGAGGGCTGGACCACTGTTGCCTACACCATCAAACAGCCAGGCTGTAGGGGACAGGCTCACCAAAGGGCCAGATGATGGAGGACAGACCTTTGGATGGACCTGCCTGCAGCAGACAAAACTCATGGAGGACCAGACCCCTGGAAGCCTCAAGTCTAGGGACCACTGTTCCAGGTAGGCCAGGACACAATTGCCTACACTCTGTGATGACCCGGATATTGAGGAGAAGTCTCCCAGAGGCCTAGACCACAAAGAGCCTGCCTGACTACCAAAGAGCAAGGCCACAAGAGTTGGGCCTCTCAGAAGACCACATCAGTTGGGATGGGACCTTGGCAGAACCAGAGCATAGAGGCCTGGATCTCTGGAGGACTAAATCACCCAAAGGCCAGAACCCCTATGACAGAAGCTCCAGAGATGGAACCTCTAACGAGCCTAGTCACAAAGGATGGAAAAACCAGAGGACCACCATGGAGATCAAGGCCACCTGAGAACCAGTCTTCCACAGGGTCAGACCACACAGTAGAGGACCGGTAGAGGGGCATGCCATGGCAAACAGGACCACCCGGCTAGACACTGGGGAACCAGGAGAGGACCAGGTTCCAAAGGGGTATGCTGTGAAAGGGCCATGAAGACAAGACCTCATCCTCTCTCCCTGGTACCAGCTCTACCCCCTGCTCCTGCCCTGGCCATTGGTGGCTAGTGGGGCAAGAGAAGCTGGAGCAGAGAGCTGGCATAGTGCAGGGAGAAGGACGAAGGACACCCTTTTCATCCTCTGCCTGTGGCTCAATCCAAATTTCTAGATAAGGAGTTACCAGGTTTTGCCTGATAAGGTTTTATCAGGAAACATTTTCTGGAAAGAAAAAAAAGGAGTTACCTGGGGAAAGTGGACTGGGAGGCTTGATGGAGAAGAATAAAGGGTTTTTTTCTTGGATTCTGAGCCTGGCTGCTTTCTTTTGCTTCTGGCTAGGACAAACTCTGGGCCCTCCTGTTCACTTCCTCTTGGCATGGGGCATTGACCCAGAGCCAGCTGGGAGGAGATCTAGATCTAGCCCTGCTCCTTGGGGAATAGTCCCCAAAGCTGATTCCTTTTTTTTTTTTTTTTTTCCTCTTCAGTCTGTTTTCACCTTCCTAACCAGTGGACAGGGAAATACCTTTCCCAGGCTTCAGCAGAAATGTATCGTGCCTGGTCCGCACCCAGATGAGTACCTGCATCACGCTTCTGCTGCCGTTGCTGTCACCCGAGCGTCGGGCCTTTGCCACGTCCCAGCCCACTCACTCTGCAGCCTTGGTGGACCCGCCTCAACCCACCAGGCAGCCACATACACTGCCCTCCCGTTCTGGCAAGTCTGCCCGGTCCGGCTGACAGGTGAAGCGGTGACACGGCGCTGTAGAGACGCACGCCCAGCCACGTCGGGGCCTGCCACCGCTGAGCAGGTCACCTTGCACGAGAAGGCTCCATCCGGGGAAACGGCGCGTCCTTGCGTCACCACCCAGCGGGCAGCCTGGGAGGAAGGGGTCTCCCAATCTCCGGACACCGCCTACCCTCAGACCCTTGGAACCGCCATGGTGTCCTTCCTCAGTTAGAGAGCAGCGCCTTGGCTTGCCAGGAACCTCAGGCGCTGGGAGCGCATCAGAAGTGGAGCTCCATGTGTCCTCTCACACCAGGACAGCAGGGGGGATCTCTGGCAAGAGCATTCTATAATAGTCGCTGTAGTCAGGTTTCATCCAATCTGTCCCTGGCATGCGAGGCCTCTCTCAACGGGTACCGGATCGAAGTATGGACCATTATATGAAAAAGACGGCAGAGACGGTGGCTCACTCCTGTAATCCTAGCACTCTGGAGAGGCTGAGGTGGAAGATAACTTGAGACAAGGAGTTCAGATCAGCCTGAGGTAAAAGCAAGGAACACATTGGTCCTCTGAAATCAACAAAACAAGAAAAAATTACTGGGTGTGGTGGTTGCCGCCTGTTAGCTCCAGCTACTCAGGATACTGAGCGCAGGAAGCCACCTTGGAGACCCAGGAGTTTGGAAGATTGGCAGTGAGCCTTATGAGCAATGCACTCTAAGCTGGGGTGACAGGGGAGACTCTGCCTCAAAAAAAAACAAACAAGACCCTAGGGCTCAGGAGAAAAAGAGTGGGCACGGGTCACACCTTAACTCAGATGCTTCTAACCACTGGTCCAGAGCCTCCTTGTTACTCCTGAACCCTCAAGGGCTGAAGCTCATCAGGGGAATCAGGGTCGGGCACAGTGCTCACTGTCTGTACATCCTACAACTCCTGGAGGCTGAGGCCAGGCCGATCACTCAAACGTCAGGATTTCCGAAATCCAGTCTGGCAAAGCCAGACCCCGTCTCTACTAAAAACAGAAGAAATTAATTAGCCAACTAAAAAAATTACTATCTAGAAAAAATCTAAGCCAGGCATGCGTGGGCATGCCTGTAGTCCCCAGCTACTCGAAGGCTAGGGCAGGAAGATCGCTTGAGCCCAGGAGTTTGAGGCTTCTGTGAGCTAGGCCGATGCCATGGCACTCAAGCCCCGGGGCCACCCACCAGTGCAGACTATTGTCCCTTTAAGTAAAAAC